CCCCTGAATTTTTTAAGGCTTAAATGAAACTTTTCATTCTCTATTTGGTTTTTCCCTTGCTCCAAATTTTATTTCCTCTTTTCTAAACTTGTTTGATTTATTATTTGCTCTCTTCCTAAGTTACTTAGGCAAGGACTCATTGTTTCTTTTTTGTACGGATAGAGGTTTCCAGGACAACACATTCTCCAAATACTGGCTTGACCATCTCCACAAAACCAGGCTTATCGATGTTTCCTTTAGCTCAGTGTTTTCCTTTTGCTCCATATTATGGCTTGGCAGGGAACTGTTACTGATCTTCTGTATTAAAACTTTTGGTATTTTATTCATTGTGGGTTTCGGGCACTAATTTTGATTTTTAAAATATTGTGTTTATATTATTTATTTTGATTGCTGAGATTTTTGGCCCCTGATTTAAGTACCTCCCTTGCCTCACCTCAGTCTAGACCACGGTAACCCGACAAGTTCTGCTCACAATTCTTTTTAGATAGTAAAGAGTAAGTGGACTGGTGGAGTGGCTCAAGTGGTAAAGTGTCTGCCTAGTAAAGAGTGATTTAGGAAAGCAGCATTATGCCTCGAAGTGTCAAGCAGGCAGTTGAAAGTCAGCCACCTGAACGGGGACCGTGCACCTCAAGGGGTGAGGCAGGCAGTTGAGTGAGAGTCAATTGCCTAAACAGAGGCAGTACACCTCAAGGGGTGAGGCCCAGCAGTTGGATAAGGGCCAAAATGTAGAGAAGCTGTCAGGACTTTGGGGGTTGTCCAGTAGGGTGGGGTAACTAAATGTCGTGAAACTAAGGGCCCTGTCCAAGTACTGAGCAGAGGCTGCCCAGTTGTGGGAAGGCATTTGGCTGCACACTTGATTTTCCCTTCCCATTTGAGCCTCTTTGCTCTTCCCGGTTTAACCTTGACATGGGGAGTGGGCCCCATAAGGATATAGGGCTACCAGCTTAATCATTGGCCCAGGTGTGGGCTTTTTTTTGTTGTGGTTGTTGATTCAAACATAGGCCACCTCGGGGTTTAGAATGGAGTCTCGAAGCATTTCCCAGGTCTTGCTCATGTCTTCCTGTCTACATGAGCCAATCTAGTAAATCTTCTTTTGTAATTATATGTTGTATAACTAATCTTCTGTTGGGTCGTTCCCCTAGAGAACCCTGAGTAACCTGGAGTGGTTTTAGAGAAACAGAATTTAAAGGGCAAATTTCCTTGCTTTTGTGGTTTCTGGGGTTGGCTAAATTTTATTAAACCTAAAGTTGTTAAAGACAGCACTGATAGCCCATGTCATGAACTATTTAAAAACATACATGTATATATTTATTTATTTATAAGTTTTGATGGTAGTGTAATTTGAACTCAGGGCTTTGTGTTTGCTAGATAGGTTCCCTACTTCTTGAGCCAGGACATCATGCTGAGTGAGATATGCCAAGCTCAAAAGGCCAAATATCACGTTCTTGCTCATTTGTGAAACCTAGACCTAAACAACGACAGTGATAATGGGACATAAATGTAAGTGGGGGATTGTGTAAGGGGGGAGTCAGCAGGAGGAGGAGGAAAGGAAAGATATTAAGGGGTGCAGAGGATGGTATAATCGAGGTTGTGAACACTGTATGCATGGAATTATCACAATGAAATTCCCTCATATTGTATGCTAATTCAAAAATTTAAAAATTTAAAACTGTGTCTAGTAGAGCATGTGTCATGTATGATCTAATAAACTTTTTGTTGGATGCACAGGGTGTCATGTAAGTTGCTCAAAACTAAAAAATAGACAATCTCTGATCTGTACATTTCGATGGACAAGTTTTTAGAAATCACTTCCAAGATAAGGTAGAAAATTAAAAATTATTGCTAGGTGCTTTTGCCCTTAATGAGCTTATAGTTACCTGATAAATATAAAAAGTAAAAAAAAAATACACAAATGTAGTTTTTGTGTGTGTCATTTGAACTCAGGGTTTCCTGCTTGTTAGGCAGTCTCTCTACCACGAGTCACTTTTCCAGCCCAAGTAAATGCTTTGGATACTCCTAATTCAGCACTCATGAGAGGCAAAGAATTTAGTGATTCTTAATTTTGTGGAAAACTAAGGAATACTGCGATGTTGGCCGATTGCTCCTAGCATCACTAGACAAAGCGATTAGAGGGAAGGAATGAGCTCAGGGATTTCATTTCCCAGCACCAGATGCGCACAAATAACCTAAAGATGTCTAAGTGTTTCTAAACGAAAATCTCCTGTAGCAATAGGGCTAAAGCTGCTGACAGCTGAACACAGTTGGCTGAATTACAATGGAAATTTCACTTGTAAGGTGTCTATAGTTAAAGTGAGGGCACTGACTGGAAAAGAATGGGATCCTGTAAATTTGGGATGGAGATGTGTGGGAGGACTCTGATGAGCCTGGTAACAATGAGGAGCTTACTTTGCCAGAGGAAGTGACCTCCACTTTCTCAGTGGCAGCAGCATCCTCACCCCCATTCCCCTGCGGTACTGGCCTCTCCACCTCATGTCAGGGGAAACTAATCCTGCTTGGCCTATGGAAACAGTAATGACCTTCCCATAATTTTCTTCTGAAATGGAGGCCTGATGTCAGAGAGAGTGAAACTGCCAAGAGATACCAAGCCAATTGTACTGCCTGCCAGGAGAGGATCGTATTTCCTTCTGTTGCTGCTTCTGTGGTCTCTTTTCCTGCCACATGCAGGACTCTCAGGTCTACACACGTCCTTGTCCATTTCCAACTGCTGGCATTGAGTGTGGCCACATTGCTAACGGGATGCCTGGGATTGCTTCTCATTTACAGAGGTCAAAGGCCAGGGTCTCACTCTCCAGAAATAAACCCCAAGGTCTGTTGAGCTCCTCCAGACCCTTGTCAAGGGTCCTTGTAGCCTAAAGCATTCCTTTCTCTGCTGGAGTCTGTCAGTTAGCTCTGGCAAAAATCACCCTGAACTTACCTCATCCATGTAAGTTTCCCAGAGAAATTATGGAAAAGGAACTTGTTCTTCTAATCCTCAAATGTCAGAACTGAAGGGCCCTTAGAGACCATCTTGCCCCAACCCCTTTCATTTTAACAGAACATGTAACTTCCTTTGCTCTATTTCCACGTTCCAAGGAATCCTCCCAAGGCCATCTCATAATAAAAATCAGGAGCAAGGTAAGAGCCAAGTTAATCAAGGAAGTAAACTACTATGGGACCCAGCTGTGCTCCAGGAAGACTGAGTCATTAGAATTGCAGCCTTGGCCTAGGGATTTGTTTATCAAGGATTTTCTTCAAGGGCAAACAGAGATCTGTGGTGGCTCAACTCCAAATCTTTACACAGGGTGGAGTGAGACTGAAAAAGTTTTTGATTAGCTTTCATCTGGGCTGGAGAATTTGAAAGGTCCTGCTTTGAAGGAGCTTGCCTTTCCTTCTGACTTGTCCAGGCATTATGGGGAGTTGGCAAACTTTGTGTGCCTCTTACTGTCTCTAAAATGTGCCTGAGTCGTCTTCTCTGACAATGTTGCTTTGAATGCTGAAATCAAGAGAACACTTCAAGGATATCAGGACAGCTTCCTTCCTATATTTACACTTGTAACAAGATTCCCCCCATACAAAATGCCATCACATCCATTACTCCAGCTTAAACTCTGACCAATGTGAGAGTCATTTTTTAGCAGCATTTTACAGATGAAGACACAGGCTCCGAGTCTGTTCTAAGGCCATGTGACTGATTAGTAAGAGGCAAGCTATGGCTGTGGAGTCCAGAGGGACTCGGAAGTTCTGTTTCTTCTATTAAATCACAGCACCTCAGGGGTACCAAGGCATGCTATAAGAGCACATAGCAACCAACTAACAGAGGCCACAGTGTTGAAATCACTGCCTTAATCTGATCCACAATGAATTCTAACATCCTGATTGACTCCTGGGAGGCATAGAACATATCTAGGTACTTTTAGTGCTAGTCCCAAAGTGGACTTTGGGATACTGGGATGTTGGGATTCACAAGGAATTTACCATCCTATAGCTTTATGTTCTTAGGGGTTTTTTTTCAGAGTGGTGGAAGATAAGGAAATCCCATAAACTGAAGGAAATTAGTTATAAGGAAGCTTTATTCACACATGGGAAAGGATCAGATCCCATTGTGGTTCTGGGTATTACTTAGCCATGTGCAGTGGACAGAGGTTTGTGTGTGTGTGTGTGTGTGTGTACGTGTATACGTGGAAAGGCAGAGCAATGTCTACAGGTAATATACTTTTTTCAACTTGTTTTTAGCCTAAGATAGCTCATCTGCACTCTTTTTTTTTTTTGTGGCACTGGGGTTTGAACTCGGCCTCATGCTTGCTAGGAAGCACTCTTACCATTTGAGCTACTCCACCAGCCCTTTTTTGTGATGGGTGTTTTTGAGATAGGGTTTCTGGAACTACTTGCCTGGGGCTGGCTTTGAACCGCTATCCTCCCGATCTCTGCCTCCTCAGTAGCTAGAATTACAGATGGGAGCTACCTGCACCGGCTCACCTGCACACTTCCAATGAAGACTAAGAAAGCTGTATCCTTGGGATTGGAATGGGTATTATCAAGTGAAGTGCACAGTTCTGGGAGAAATAGCGAAGCCACAGGTGAAAAAACTCTAATAAATTATCCATGAATTGACATTATTTGGGTAATCCAGATTACTTAAGGGACGTGTTCCTGGGTAATAATACCCTTGTGTCTTGAGTGCTTAGAAAATAACCCAGGGTGAGATCTGGACACAAGTCCAATAGTTTTACAGCCATGGAAGTTTAACCCACTCCCTGTTCCTTGCTTCAGTATATTTAATCAAAAAAGGAGGACAGAATTTTTTTTTTTTTTTATTCACGCTCTTGCCCAGCAAGGGCACCCGGTATTAGCAAGTGCAACTGCTCAGATGTATTGGGAAATACAATCATGTATTGTGCAGTTCACCAGGCGGATGTTGAGGGTGGCTCCAGCTGGGATGCAATGCTGCCGGGGGTGGGGAGGAGTGAGATGGAGAGGAGTGAGTTGAAGGAGTTTTCAATTTACAGGTTAGCGAGAAGCCAATCTAACAGTTGCTTTCTAGCCATGTTACCCACAGCTTCATCCAGTTGTCGTTCCTTGGCAAACTTCATGACCTCTTGAAGAAGATCTCCTACACTGTAACTCTTCTCTGCTGCCTTGGCTGAAACCTCAGGGAGCTGTGGAGAGAGCACAGTCACTTTAGTCAGCTAATGCTTTTAGAGGAAGGACCCACTGGACAAAGCAAATTAACACCCCCATCCTCACCACTTCCTACCCACGATTCTAAAATTAATGGGTGTCACAGATCTAGCACTGGCGGCTGCTGACATCCCTTTCCTTTTCCATGGAATCTTCTCGAAAAATATAGATTGCAAACTCTTAAATCAATTGTGTTCACTAACTACCCTTCACTGGGTGCTAGGCCCTTAAAAGTGAGTCTGTGTTGATTGTTAGGTAGAGGTTTGGGGTTACCTTTATTCTGCCCCCCCCTAAAAAATGAAGGACATTAGGGGTAAGGAGGATTGCCTGGGCTCATTTCCTTGGCTGAAAATAACTTGGCTAAGTGTTCATTTTCTCTGGAATCACTCTAATGCGAGGAAAGCAACTGTGTCGTGTATGCTTGAGGGAGAGCGAATGAGCACAGTTATGAAATGCTGGCCTCCCCACCTCCTCTCCTTCTAGCTCTTTCTTCTTGTACCTTGATATCAGCATTCCTTACCTTCTCCAGTTGTCCGTCGTCGTCTCCCATGAAGTAGAGCATGGGTACGTTAAACTGGGAAGCTGCAATCCACTGTAGGACAGCCTGCAGTTGCTTCTGCGAGTTACTTGTCGAGGATTGATTATTGACAATAACTTCAGGCCCAGGCCCAGGAGCATCCTGGTAGCTCTGCGACATCGCACCTTCATGAGCACATTGGGAGCCAAAATTGGGATTGCTCGCCAAGGCTGCCTGTTCTTCTAACTCAGCAAGGGCTGCCCCGTTGTTGCTGTACTTCGCCATGATCAGACACAGCTTCATCACAGATTCTACCAGTTGATCGATAAATTGGCGGTTCATTTGTTTCATCCCGCTGATGAAATCCACTTCTTGATTGTCCGGGCATTGTTCTTCAGGCTTCTTGGATGAAGAAGCTGCTTTGCATGCAGACTGTTTGTTCTCACCTTCAGGTAGTTCATCACAGCTGAAGGGGCTTTCACTAAGGAGTTTCTGAATCAGCGACAGAACGATGTTTGACATGTCCAGCTTCTGAGAATCCAGTTGATTCTCCTTTACGGAGGCACATGGTCCAGGAGCTCCACGAGTTTCCAGATGCTTCATTGAGAGTGATTTAGCACTTTGGCCACCTCCACATTTTTCATATTGGGCACTCTGGGCCATGTAGCCCACTGATGAACCAGGACACTTTTCCTCACATGCATCTTTACCCTTGGCTTGGTGAGTTAGGTGATACTGAATCAGTATAAGGGCAGATACGATCAGGTCTTTGGCCAATGAATCTGTGGAGGGGCTGATCTTTTCTCTTTTCTCATCTTTATTAGTGCACAATTTAGTGGCCATTTTACATGGGTTTCCTTTTTTCTGATTCCACATGGTTAGACTTTCCTTGAGGATATGTTCGCTGACTCTCTCGGCACTTGTTAACGCCTTGCACTGGTCTTGTTTTGTTTTGCATTTGTCCTTCCCTTTCTTTTCAGCTTTCATAGCTGAGAATTCAAGGCTCTGATTCTTGCACTTTGAATCATGGGTTCCAGTTTTCAAAGTTGCATATGACAGACTCTGAGACTTAGTCTCTTTCTTTTCGCAAAGAAGGGCGCTGACCAAACGCTTCAGCATGGCCTCCATGATGTCTGCAGCGTTTTGTCTTCCATGATTGAACAGATTTCTCTTGACAGCCGAGACAAAGTCAGAGTCTGTCATCAGGACCCCAGTTATGTTATGCAGGTTCTTCATGCAAGAATCAATCAGATCGGACACAATGTCCTTGGTGTGCTTTAACAACACCCTCTTAAGGACTACGCAAGCTGGAATCGGCTTCCCACAGCTGTGCACTTTCAAAGTTTTCATTACGGAGACCATCATGTCCGATGCCACCTGATTTGCATAAACCATGAGCCCTTTACTAATGGAATCTGCAAATTCTTTACTATCTCGCTGGCACATCTGTTTTTCCCCACCCTTGTTCTTGTTGGATAATTCGCTGTACAGAAAGGTTTTCTGGCCACCCTCCCTTCCCTCCTCCCCAGGGCCACGCATTTCAGCAGAAGTGAGTTCCACAGCTTCGTGGGCCATTTCAGAAGTAATCTTGCTGACAGCACTGTGGGGGCTGATTTTCCCTTTGTCACCAGAAGGTGGATAGATTGAATGGTGGAGGCATTTACTTCCACCTTCCAATTTTTCTTTGATTTCCTTTCGGGCCATCTGAATTACTAGAGAGGACAGTCGGTTGACATAAAAAGAAAGGTCATCCATAGAGCATTCCCCATCAGGGGAGATAACTGCCCTCTGATTGCTAGGAGATTTGTTGGCAAGATTTGAGGGACTTTGGTTATTGTTGGTGTTCTTAGTTGCTGCCATTTCTAGACGTACATTTTGAGGTCCATTGGCTAAATAATCCATGTTCAGTTGATCAGCGTACACACTGAAGCAGTTCCCCGAGGGTATTTTGCTATATTCACCCTCTATGTCTCCTACTTTATGTTTACAGCTAGAGGCTGAGGGACTTAGCGCGTGTTGAAAACCCAAGGCATACTTCTGGAGATCATTGAGGAGCCAATTGAGGACACTTAGGGGGTCAGAGGGTGCTTGTTTGAAAAGACATACAGATCCCTCCATCTAAAAAAAGAAGAACACCTATCCATAAGGGTTTGGGTAGGCTACTTCTTTCCTTTATTTTAATTAGAAGATACATCTACTAAACTGCACAAATTAGGAATTTCAATTTTGGGCATTTGCAGGGGGACATAGCACCTACATATATCCATTAACACACATTCGAACACAAGGGGCAGCATGGTATAGAGCCTGCCCAGCAAACGCAAGGCTCTGAGTACAAGCCCCGGTACCACCAAAAAAACCAAAAAACCTTTCCGTTATGAAAAAAAACTCATAGTATAAACACTTGTAGACTTAACTGTTATACAAGTGTTATCAATGTGTTTGTCAATTTCATGTGAGTATGTTTGTCTCAAAGTGTCAAAAGTGTGTCAGTGTGTCTGTTGTGTGTGTATATAAACGTCACTATAGCAATTCATGTGTGTGAACATATCAATAGATGTGACAATATGTCGGTCTGTATTGTTGGTTTGTGAAAGTGTGCCATTGTGTGTATGTGTGTTCATATGTATGACTACATGCAATCATGTGTAATAATGTTTTGAAATTGACTGTTATGTGTGTTTACCATATAAGCCAGTGTATTTACATTAGTGTGTACATGTGTATATGTCTGCAAATATGGTTGTGTATGTCAGTGTCTCTGAATATGTAAATAAGTATCAATTTGAGTCATCGATTCACTGTAACCCATCATGAGGTTATAAACTTATTTCTGTGTTAAGGCATAAAAATCACATATTAATGTATGCATTCATTAATAACATATAACATTAATGAATGTGTGTGAGTATGTATAAACTGGTGATTGATGAATATGTGTCAGTAAATTCATAAGTTATGTCAATGTTTTATAATTTGTGAGTCAGTATTACATATACCCTGGCATCTGAGTATGTGTGTGAATAACATGAATGGGTACGTCATTACACTTGTGTCAATGTGTTTTGTGTCAATTTGTGTATCGATGCATACAAACAAGTGTTAGTGAATGTGTGTCACTTTGTTTAAGTTTGTGTATGTATATGTCGGCATGATTGTGTATGGCATTGTGCAGGTCTTATTGTATAGGTCGTTCCTGGTCATGTATATTTATAAGTGTGTATGACAATACCTGAATTTGTATGGCTGCTGTGTTTTGATCAAGGCTCATATGTGTTGATGTGAGTGTATGTTTATGATTGTGCATATGAGTGTGAATGAATGTTTATGTGTGTCACATGTGGGAATGTCATGCCATCTGACTCTGTATATCTTTATATTATGTGTGTCTTTGTTCATGAACAGGTCACTGTATTTAGATCTGTTATACCAATGCATGTGTGTGTTTAGTGTGTGTGTATATGAATTTAAAAAAATTGTTTTTGAGACAAGGTCTTGCTATGTAGCCCAGACTGGCCTCAAACTTGTAATCCTCCTGCCTCAGCCTCCCAAGTTGCTGGGATTACAGATATGTGCTACCATACTGGGCTAGATTACTTTTAAACATATGTAAATGTATTTATTGATGTGTGTTTCAACTTTGCGTACTTTTATATCTGTGATTTGTAGCTGTATGTTCATATCTGGATACATGTATATGTACTGTGTACACATCTCCGACACATCACTAAGTACTGCTGCCCTCTTTGCCTCTTCAATTACTTCATTTGCTCTCTTCACAGAATTCTGGGAAATGTAATTTTGCAAGTAGGCTTCAATTACAGTCAAGGTGATGTGCATCATAGGAAATATGGGCTGCTTTTTAAAGAAATAAACACCAGGTATAATTTATACCTTTCTTAAGACTTCAAAATGGAGTTGGCCAACCCCAACCAAACCCCAAATTTTTTTTCAGTTCAAATTTTTGAATTCAGGGCCTCACAATTGCCAGGCAGGCGTTCTACTGCTGGGGCCACTGAGCCAGCCCCTAAACCCAAATTTTTTTTAATAAAGTTGTGTAACTTGTGTTTCTTCCTTGGGGTCATTTTCCTCATTTCAAAGGTATCTGGGACCAGAAATGATGTTTTAGCTATAACATATGAGTCTACAGACACAGAACATTTAACTCCTTTGCACAGTAGCCAAATATCCTGTCCCAATACCACCTACTCCAGGCTTGTAGGAATGTGGGGCTAACTTCTTGTGTGTTCTAGTGCCCCCCAAAACAAAAACCCAAAAGATGATTTCAGATAAACAAAAACAAATGGATTTTGGATGTGACGGTGCCATGTAAATCTAATTGCTTCTAAACGAAGCTACTTAACAGTCTGGGCAATCCCTTAGACAACAGGATGGGGATTAGGTACTCAAATTCTGTGTTGTTATATATTCTTTGCTCCATAGCACTTCTTCCTCGAGGGATGCTGGCCAATGTGGGACATGTAAGTCCATCATAAGCCAGCAAAGATCAGAGCAAAGATGTTTCTTATGAGCCCACATCTTCGTTAGGATTAGAATAACACCATTCTATTTGGAGTAGGTACCTGGAAATCAGGAGATGGTATTCTGAGCCTCTGTGATTGATGAATGTCATTTATAAGTAGTGTTGAACTTACCGTGGCCCTGAACTTAGTCCTGTGTTGTCTAGAATGTCATAGTGTAGAAATTGATGACTTATTGGGCAATAGTTTCCTTATTAACTCTGAACCAGAGTCCTCAGACTCAGTATTGGACCCTAGGAATTCTGAGTAGTGAAATTTCAGAGGCTAAGTCTACCTTAGACTGATCTTGCTTTTCAGTATCCTTGATCACGATAATTTCTTTTTCTTCCAGATTCTCCAGGTTTAAGTCACTGTCTGCCCTAGAACCAGAAGCACCCTATGGAATTAAAGGAGATTCTTATGAATAGTTGCTTTTTGAGACTTCTGCAAGTTGCTCCCGTCGGCTACCACTTCAAATCATGACTGCTGTGTCTCCTATCGTCCTTTTTCTTTCTGCAGGAGAAGTAGACTTCTAATGCTAGCTAGTCTTTGAAGAATGAGACAAGATCCTTCCAGAAATTACTACTTCCCCTTCTCAAGACACTCACAAGGCCATCATTCTGAAGAAGCATATTCCATTAGTCACCACCCTTTTGGACAGATTTTTTTAAAAACTTTTCTGACATGCTATCTTCCACGCTTTAATTATTTTGCTTTACCAGCAAAATGAGATTTGGTATCAAGAGAGACAATAAACTCACTATGCTAATAAAAAACAGCAAAAAAAAAAGACTAGTTATTAAAAATATATAAGCACTGAGGAAAAAAAACACTGAAAAAAAAGTGACAATAAATTCAGAACGAGGGACCCTGGGCTCAGGAGAATGACAGCCTTCCATCTGAGTCTTCCCTCCCCCCACTTTTCTGCCCTCTGATACAACCTTTTGGTTTTCTCATATTTCACTTGTAACCGTTCTCAGAAGTGTCCCACCTCCACCCAATTTTGATCAGAAAATACCCACCTTGGAATCTTTGTCTTCATCATTCAGGGTGGATACATCCACAAAGCATATCTGCATCAAATTAGGAGGGTGAATTTAGATAAACTCTAGAGAAAAGGCCAGAATTTCTCTTTTGTGGAGGAACTCCACTTACCTTGTGAAGTTCTTGTGAAGATTAACTGATAGTGTATGTACAAGTTTTACCATAAACATCGATACTGTGACTATGACCAGGCAAACAGAATGGTAACATTGCCCAATTTCCTAGATGAGAGCACCAGCCTGTCACAGAGAGTCCCAAAAGACAATATTCACATATACTAATTGAGAAAACCGAGAAGTGAAATGCTGTGCCCAACTGACACATACTCAGCTTGGAATAGAACTTTATTTCCCTGGCTTCTAGTTTAAGGCACTTTCTATAACATCAGTGTTTCTCAATATGTAGTATTATTACTCTTAATTTAAAAGATTTTTGGTAGTACTTATGGATAAACATATCTGTGCTTAATAGGTATACTCTAATAGAACGTCAAACCTGTTATGGATAATATTGCTTAGGGTGACAGTCACTTAAAGTGTAAACCAATTTTAAAAGCATTGAAAAAACACGCGAATAGTATGGGTGGTACTTGAACATGCTAAAAATGTGAGTACTATTGTAAATCACTTGAATTTTGGGAAATGGTGTGAAGCATTTGAAGTATTTTGCCTTCTTCAGAGGTCCTAGTGTAACTTACTGGTAGCTGGGCATTATGACGTAGCAGGTGCTTAGGTAATAGAAGCTGGTTACTAGGCAACCAACAGGCCTCCCTCCCCTCAGGTTCCTCCCTCCTCTCAGGCTCCTCCTCCCCCTCAGGCTCCTCCCTCCCCCCAGGCTCCTCCCTCCCCTCAGGCTCCTCCCTCCCCTCAGGCTCCTCCCTCCCCTCAGGCTCCTCCCTCCCCTCAGGCTCCTCCTTCCCCTCAGGTTCCTCCCCCCTCAGGCTCCTCCCTCCCTCAGGCTCCTCCCTCCCCTCAGGCTCCTCCCTCCCCTCAGGCTCCTCCTTCCCATCAGGCTCCCCCCTCAGTTCCTCCCTCCCCTCAGGCTCCTCCCTCCCCTCAGGCTCCTCCCTCCCCTCAGGCTCCTCCCTCCTCTGAGGTTCCTCCCTCTCAGGTTCCTCCCTCCTCTCAGGTTCCTCCTCAGGCCCCCCTCCCCCAACTCTCTTACATCACTCCTCCCCCTGCCCCTCCCCTATTCATCCCTGTGTGATGTATATGTGTGCTGTTCCCTGAAAGATCTTGCTGAACCTGGTTGCTTGGAGAAGTCACCTCCATAAATTTATCTTGGGCCCCAATATTTCTATAGCCCTACAACAAGTTTTTCTGCTCTTTGGTAGAAGTCGGGTCATATCTTACCACTTTCCGTTCCTGATCTTGTTGTCCTGATGGGCTGTAGAGATCTACTTTGCACACGCCCCTGCGGCTGTGTAACCAGTCGATATCAGACATCTGAAAAGAGAAATAAAAAATCTGAATACTTGTATATACTTACAGAAGTGGGGTCATAAAGCCCTCTTGAGCTGAACCCCATATCTGTTTCATACAGGTTTAGGCTAAGAACAGCAGGGAGAGGTGGGAGCAGTGGGGAAGGACACTCAGACATTTTGAAATTGAGGCACAGGACCATTAACTTTTACCAAAATCTGTGATTTCCTTTCATTTAGACTCACCACACCAAGTATTTGGAACCATGGGAGTATCTCATTGACTTAGGAGAACAGTAGTCAGGAAAAATGTGAAGCAAATTCAAAAGGTGGTCTAGAGACTGCAGATTACATTTAGTGATTTAATTCCACCCAACTCCATAACTAAATCTCATTCTCTACATTTCTTTCCCCACTCTCGGGTACCTTCAAAGGATCAAGGTCACTTCGCCTCCTCCTAATTCTAGCCAACCCCAGTTCAACTAGAGTCTTTCTTATTACAATAAGTGAAATCAGGTAAATAACTGTAACAAATCAGTCCAGCTAAAAGAAAAAGAAAATGGCAGAAGCCAGTGATAATTTTTGCTGTGTAAGACCAATTAAGAACTCAGTAGACTTCAATCCTCTTGTCTAAGTATTAGAAGGTTGTTGAACTTCATTCTCTCAAAATTTAGACCTTTTTAAACTAGCTCTTCAAAAACTCTCACATTCTCTTCTTCCTTCCCCCCTCCCCCTCCCCCTCTCTTCTCTTCTCTCTCTCTCCTTCCCCCTCCTGTCCCTCTCCTCCTCCCTCTTCTTTTCTCCTTCCTTTTCTCCCCTTTCTCCCCTCTCTCCCTCACTTCCCTTCTCCTCTTTCTCTCCCTTCCTCCCTCCTTCCTCTCTTCCCTCTGTTCTCTCCTTTACTTTCCTCCCTCTCCTTTTCTCTGCTCCCTTTCCCTTCCCTCCCTTCCTCCCTTTCCTTGTCTAATTTTCTGCCTGCCCCAAACATTTTTTAGAACCACTATCCTCTAACATGAGACCATATTCCCTTACTATCTTGGCCATCCCCAAGATGTTTTTGGGTTTTCCCTTCAAGAATCTCTGTGAAACCTTGAAAAAGTTACAGAAAAAAGGCTTCCCACAGCCTCAGATGAGGGAGCTCTTTCTTTTTTCAAGAGCTAGTGAACCCTAGCCTAGAAAAAAAAGAGAGGCAGAGAAGTCCGTGATGTGATTTGAATACTGTCCCAATCTAAATCTAAAAAAAAAAAAAAACTCTAAAAAATAAAACGCGTAAATTTATTACCTTGAAAATGAAGTTCTTTTGGACTTTTGGCTGAAATGTGCCACCCAGAAGGAAGATGTGCCCCTTTAGATGGAACTGGGCAGTGCCAAGTTCTTGGGCACCTGCAGCTAGCTGCCCCCACCGTCAGCTGTTGGGCCAGACTGATGAGCCAGACTGTTTCCTACTGGCTTTAACCCTGAGATGTTACAGTGGGGTTTGTTAAGTCACAATGCCTGGTGCTATAGCAACCTGAGAAAAGGTGTGGCACCCTGGCAAACTCAGGACATCAGGCTGCCTGCTGTAGGATACACTTTTTCCATTATATCTTGAAGGGCACACATATTTCACAGAGTTCACAGTCCCTCAAGATCGCCCATCTCTTCCTCACCCTAGTTTTTGTTTTTTTTTTTGGCAGTATTGGGGTTTGAACTCAGGGCCTCCTATTTTCTAGGCAAGGCACTCTACCACTAGTGCCACTCTGTCAGCCCTTTTTATATTGGTTATTTTTGAGATAGGGTCTTGTTTTTTGCCTAGGGGCAGCCTGGACCCAGATCCCTCCAATCTCTGCCTCCAAAGTAGCTAGGATTACAGACATGTGTCACTGCACCTGGTCTCATGTCTTTCCTTTTTATGAGAGACCTCAAGAAGGATCTAATCACCTTAGTTACCCATTTGGTGGAGGGCTATTGTTTTCTCATACAAAATGACCACTAGTCTTTTATGGACAAAACTATTTTCACATTGTAGCTTATTTCTACAATTCTCTTTGAATTTCTCTTTGAATTTCCCACTAGAGCATGAGTGCTACATGACAAGAGATCTTTGAATTTATGTTGAAACAAATGTTGATCAAAGTCTTTTCTGGGTATCCCAAATAAAATGAAAATGGAGGATGCCTTAGCAGCTTCTGTGGTTTCACCTCACCATTAAGACATCCCTTTTTGCAGGATGTGGCTGTGCATGCCTGTAATCCTAGCTACTCAGGAGGCAGAGACAGGATGATTGTGGTTTGTGACCAGCCTGGGCAGAAGTTAGTGACATCCTGTCTCAACAGCCAGCTGGGTGTGGTGGTGAGCATCTGTGGTCCCAACTATTTTGGGAGACAGAGGTAGGAGGATCTCAGTCCAAGGCTGGCCCCAGGGGGAAAGTGTGAGACCCTATCTGAAAAAGACTAAAAGTTAAAAGACTGGATCATACATAGTTCAAGTGGTAGAGTGTGAAGCCCTGGGTTCAATCCCCAGTAGTGCCAAAGAAAGATACTCCCTTAATTAATCAAAAAGTGATTAAAAGATGTCCCTACCTTTGTAATATCACAGAAGGAAATCATGTGTAGGAACTTTGGATGATACTTTCTGGTGAATTTGGATGCTGTGATGACTTCTGGTCTGCCTCAAGATGTTCTGTCTTTCCTCAACTCTCCATACTCTCCTAATGCTTTAACTGCCAGCTGGTACTAGATTTTTAACTTGGTGACATCACTGTTTCCATAGAGAATAGTGACAGCACAAAGTCATGAGCTTTATTCTGAGAATTCTTTCCTTATTCTCTAATATACCTATAGTATATCTCTATATATCTCTATCTACCATCTATCTATAGCTTATCTAGCTAGCTATGAATGACAGAGTCAGCCTTTTAAAAACTCTCCAAGTCATGAAAAGACTTAAGCCCTGCTCACTGCTTTCCATTCCAGCCACTGCTTATTGTTGGTTCTGTTTTTTTAGAGAATTATCCATTACACTTTGAGATGCCTTCCATTTAAACCCAGTTTGGAAATGTCAGCCCATACCAGATGGCTCTCATCTGTGCCCAAGTCACACTTTGTCTCTCCTTGTCCTTTTTCCACATCTCCACTTTCACCTCATGCATGTAAATGAATATATCTGAATTCAAAATCATTTGAGGTAACTCCCTAAATAATAGTTTCATTTTCTTGAATCTACGTTTCTTCTTTTCCCTGTTCCCCTGAGATTTCATGTCTTAACCTTGCTATACAGTTTTGATCCTGGTAGTTTATGGTGTCAAAGAGAAACTTGGCAACATGTTTGTTAAAGTTGGCAAGACAGATTTTATTGAGACCACCACACTAAGGGGAGAGAGAGAGAGACTTCAGATGAACAGAGCTCAACATCACTAAAACAGAAGGCAGGGTGAGCTAAAAGGAAAGTACTAGAGGGACCTTGTGGGGTGAGGTTGGTCAAAGTGACTAGAGCATCTGCATTTGCTAACTGGAACTAATCAGTTAGCTCCTACCCTCCCAAAGAGGCTGGGAGACCTGGGTCCTATCTTTCTTAATGATTACACTTCAAAGCGATGGTTTCTAGGTCCTCAAGGAAGACACTTCTGGGTTGTAGAAGATAACATCTCAAAAAGACAGAGAAAGGATTTATAATTCCAACTTTTCTAAAGTACATGTTCTAGGGAAAGGGAGGCAGGACCTGTAGTGAGGTCTTGGCTGGAATAGACAGTAAATTCTTTGGGCAGCACTGAACTTTCTCAGGTAGGCATTTGAAGGCGGCTGGGGTCCTCATTATACTAGGGGTATGGCCTTGACCTTATAAAAACTATGTCAGTATTTGTTCAAATCTTTTAGTGTGTGTATATGTGTATAGGGGGTGGTGGGTGAAAGCATTTGTGCTTAAAGTTGCAGTTCTTATAGACCAACATTGAGGCCTAGTTGAGAAGAGGGCTCAAAAGAACCTGGTTAAAATTTGTCAATGGTCAGCTAAAACCTACAATGGACCTGTTTTTCCTATGCCACCCTTTTTTTTAAGGGCAAATTTTTTTAAAAGCATATTACATACGAATATATTATGTATTTATAGCATATTATTCATATATAACAAGTATATTATACATTGATTCATAAAATATTAGAGTTATACCATTTATGGGGTATCCTGTAGAGTTTCATTGCAATTACACACTGTATAATGTTGAAATCAGGTTAAACGTAACTATCCCCTCAAGGATTTATCTTTTTTTTTTTTTATGGTGAAAACATCCTGAATCTTCTTTTCTAGGTTTTTGGCATATCCAGTACATTATTGTCATCTACAGTTACCCTACTGTTCAATAGCGTACCAGAAGTTCTTGTCCCTAACTAATAGTGACTTAGTATCCCCCTATTAGCCAAACTTTTCCCTAGTCTCCTCAGCCTCTGATAACCATCATTCTGCTCTCAACTTGTATGAGATCATTTATTTAGATTCCACATATGAGTGAGATTATATGTACTTGTCTTTCTGAGCCTGTCTTATTTCACTTAATGTTCTGTAGTCTTACCCATGTTGTCCCAAAAGATTTCATCCTTTTTATGGCTGAATAGTATTCCATTATGTATATGTATCACACTTCTTTATCCATCTACTAGGTTGTTTCCATTTCTTTTAAAAAAATTTTTATTAGCATATAATAGTTGCACAGGGGAATACACTGTGATATTTACATTTATCTTAGTTATATATTACATTTATTTTAGATATTTACAATATATCTTAGTTAGATTTACCCCCTCCATGGTTTTTCCTCTTCCTCCCTCCCCCTTCGTAGAACAATTTCAACAGGTTTCATTCTTCTGTTTTCATATGAGGACAAAATACATGTGTCATATTCACCCTCACCTATTCTTTCCTTATGCCCATCCCCTCCCACTGGTGCCCACCCCTCCCACTGGTACCCACTCCCAGAAAAACTGGGAGTCTCCTGCCCTTCATTTTTTAGGCATATGTTGATAGTC